TTCCTCAGCACAGAGGGTGCTAGTGCATTGTAAGGGTTCCAGGTTATGTTTTTCCACGTATCTTGCTTCCTATAAAATTTAGTTTTTCTCTCTCTTCTTGTCACCTAAGCCAGAGAAAGCAGGCCAACAGGCAGCAAGCGCATTTCATCTCTAGAAGCAGCTGCTGTGGATCCAGTCTTTGGAATAGGTTTATTCCCCGTGTCAGAGGCTGTGTTTAAACGTCTGCTTTCTAGGCCCATCTGGATGGAGTAATGTTTTATGCAGCCTCTCGCTGTCTCGGGTCTCCCTTCTATAAGGCAGCGTCGGTTTGTCTGTGTAGGAGTGGTGGGGGGACGGGATGGGCTCTGGTGCTGGCTTAATGGGGGATTCCACCATATTGGGGACCTTCCCAGTTCTTCTCCCCCCCCCTTGCCCCAGGGTTCCTTCACCATTCCACAGGACAGACCCTTCAACTCATGAGCAACAAGGATGATGGACCAGGGGAGGGGGGTCAGAGGTGCCTCTGTGCATCACCTTGAGGATAGTCAATGGAGCTCCGCCACCCTATGACATCTGGTGTGTTTAGGCACCTCTGGGGCCGTGATTTGTTTCTGGCCCCCATAGGGGAACCTAGCTGAGGCTTCAACCTGCTTGCCCCACCTAGGCACCCTCAGCTTTGTGGGTGGTGGGTGAAGGTAGGGCTAGTTGAGGCAAGCCCTCCCCCCACCAGCCCTGTTCCTTCTGCCAAGGCCCTGCCCTGCCCCCAGCACCATGGTGATGTGGTGGCGCACGGCCTCCGCCTTCCAAACCCGGAGCACTGTTGCAACAACACTTCGCCCCCGTTCCCCTACATTAGTCATTCTGGGGGCGGAGTGTGGGTAGGACCATGCCCAGCGGTTTGGGAAGGCAATGCCTCCCCCCGCATACCATACCCATTGACCCTGCCCGGCTTGTCTGAGAATGTGGGGCCCAAAGCATGACCTGGCTCAGGGGTAGACAGAGCTGTCTGTGGCTGTGGCTGCCTGCTCATCACAGAGTTCTGGGGAGTGGGGGGCGGGAGCTAGGGGACAGGTGCCTAGAACCTTCGTCTCCAAGCTGGCTGACACCCCAACATTGCCCTCCCGGAACGTGGCAAGACGTGGTCTCCTAGAAGTCCCTTTGTTGCAGGACTTTGAGAGGAGAGGGCATCTCAGCCTTGCACAGGTTGCTCGGCATGGGCAGGCACTTCTTTTGTGTGTGGGCAGCTGGGAGAGTGGAGGGGAAATCAGAAGGTGGAAGCAAGGAGCGAGAAAGGGAGAAGCAGAGGGGATAGGTGGAAGGAGAAGGGGAGAGAAATTCAAGACCGGGAGGAGGAGGTGAGGGGGGCAGGGAAGGATTAGGAGGGATGGGGGTAGGAAACAAGAGGAGGGGGAGAGCTCAGCAGGGAAGAGATGGTGGGTGGAAGGTGAGGCACAAGGAGGGAAGGTGGTTGGGGTAACAAGGAAGGGTTTGGTCTTGGACAAACCACCAGGAAGCCTGCCTTTTGAATTAAACAGCACCCCGATTTCCAATGCAGTTTTTCAAGAATGACTTTTAAAGGCAGCCCCCAAACCAAACCAGCTGGCTGCTTGTTCTGCAACAGAGGTGGGCAATAAAACAACGGTGGGCCCCTGGTGGGCTGCTTCCGCTGTATTTACCTGCACCTCCGCAGTTATGGCCAATCGTGGCTCCCATCGGCCGGGAACGGAGATCTGCAGTCAATGGTAGCTGTGATTTTCCCCTGTAACTATGGAGGTGCAGTGTGCGGGCCCGACAGGGCTAACCCGGCTGAACCAGATCCAGCCCATGGGTCGGTATTTGCCCATCCCTGTTCTGGAAGATAAACTTCCCAGCCAGCAAGCCTCACTTGTGGCAACCCATGCAGGAGATTAGAGACAGCGAACCTTCTTAGTCTGGATTGAAGGCTTGGATTTTCAGATGCCTCATCCCCCATGAGAATCGTCTCCCTCCAAGTGAATTTCATTGGGACTTTAGTACCTAACTCACCTTTGGAAAAACCTCATCTTCGGACTGCACCGGGCTGCCCTTCATCCCTCTAATCGGCACCCCCTCTTGCTCCTCCCTTTTGTTTCTGAGCCCCTCAGCCCGAGAGGCCTCCTGATAGCACACTTTCCAAATTGCAGTTCTATAGAAAGGGCCCATCTGGAAAAGCCATCCCCATCCGCCTGCTATAATATTTGTCCTGCACTTTAGAAAAAACCCAAAACTATTTATTGCAGACTCATGTAAAATAAACGTAAAAGTAGTCAATGAAAAGACAACACTAAAGTTCTAACCAAATCAGCCGTTTCTCGTATTGAAAAGGGGACGGGATGCTGTCGGATATGAGTGACACTGGGCTTTAAAAGCATGTGTTCACATTTCAAATGTATTATGTAATATGCTGCTATTAGTGTATTTAAGATAAAAATGAGACTAGAGCACTTAAGTGAAACTCATCTCTCTATTAGGTTGCCTGATTTATATTTCATATATGACTGAGCATAAATGCTGTTGGTTTTTTTTTCCATGCCCGGGGAGAAGGAAATTGTTGGGAGGATTTCTTCCTTGTGTTCTCCATTAGTGAAAATGGATTTAGCCCCTTTAGCCAAGGAGTATCGAAGCCTAGAAGCGTTAGGGGGTGTGCAGCAAAGGAGAGAACAGCTGGGGCCAAGGGAGAGTTGCAAAAGGTTTTGCCTTTTTTTGTAAAGAATTCTGTCCTTTTATTAATTTTGATCTCTTGGCTCCATTTGGTTCTGATTATCTTAGAATGGGGATACAGGGAATGGAGGGGGGAGTGGTTTTCAATGTGGCATCATTTACGGTTAATACCCATCTAAAAATATCTCTCTGTTTTATTTTAATAGATCTAATTCTGGAATGTGACAATGTCATTTTTATGAGAGTAGTGTAAAAATAATTTATACTCTTTTCATGCCCAAAAAGCTCTTTTAGGGGTAAGTGGAGACCAAGGGCTGGGGAGAAGGTGTAGTATCATTTTTATAGTTCCCTGTCTCCATTTTTCTTCCCCCTCCCTTGCTCTGTTTAATATAATTTTTATGGTGTGTTTTTCATCATTGGAGGTTAAGGCCTCATTTAAAGCTTTGATCCCATCCAGGTGGGAATTCGCTTAGTTAGTTTCACCCCCATATTGTCCGGGAATCCACACCTACCTGGTTCAGTAGAGAAGAGTTTGTCTTCTGGCCTCTGCCATGATAATGTCTGGGTGGCTACTGTAAAAGAAAAATGTGCCATTTTTTTTTTTAAAGGCGAGACGTGACCCTAATATTTTTGTGCTTTTGTTCTGTAAAGATTTCCCAATGTGGCCTAATGATTTTGGAGTCCCTGCTTGAGATCACTTCAGAGCGCCTTGTTCTTTAAGGGCTTGAGTGCTCGTCCCGCTGAAAATCATGCCCCATTTTGTAGGTGTCTCTAGTTGGGTATCCCCAATCATGGGTCACTTCTGAAAACGTAGCCTCTTGGAGTGTCCAAAGTACTATCCATGTGGGCTCGCTCTGCGTGTACCGGCATCCCTCACCACAGCATCTGAGTGCCTCCGCATTGCTGTTAGCCCTTTGGCTGTCTTAGCAGGCTAGTGAAGCCCTACCTCCGCCTCCCCTCCTTCACAAATTCATTTTAAGTCTGCATAGATACTTTATGCTGTACCGTGGAGGTTACCGAGTTCTGAAGGACCCAGAGAGGAACTGAATTCCTTAAGAAGAGCGCCTCTACTGAAAATTCCTGGCCTTCCCTTTAAGTGATCATCTCATCTCATCCAATCAGGACTCTAGTGCTCTATTGTAGTGTTTCCATGCTCATTATTTTTGGCGCTTCTCCATTAATTGGCCCTGCAAGAGACCTAGTTGTCCCTTGGTAGTTATAAGACCGCCTAGCTGTTGTATAGCAAGTTTTATCTCGGTGCTGTACAAAGATGGTTGGCGTTATTATCCCTGTCTTATAGCTTGGGGAAACCGAGGCACGGGGGAGTGACTTGGCCAAGCTCATCCACCAGGCCAAGGGCAGGAATGGAACCTAGGTTTCCTGAGTAGTCAGCTGCTGCTCTAAGCAGTAGACAAGACACCTAGTTGACAAATCGACTTGCCGTAGGGGCTAACAAGGTGCAGTGTTGGCACCCAGTGGAGACTAATGTTCTCTGTCTACAAAACAAGTGCCGTGCAGGCATTAGCTGCGCAAGCTTCTCTTCCTCCCACCTTGCCAACGTGCCTCAACCCAGGTTCCAGAGGCATCGCCTCTGTGGATGTGAGGCAGCTCCATCTCTGTGGCCCATTCGATTTTTAATCTCTGGTAGGACTGTCAACATGGATGGGGATAAATAGAAGACTTCTAGGAGCTAGGGCTGAAATGCACCAGATTCTTCTCCTACCGGAGGACAGCTTCATCTCCACATTCATTTACTCCTTGGCTTGTTCGCGTTGCTCACCAGTAGTATGGAAACCTGGCTTAGATGAGGCGCATTAAACTCCATGCGTCTGGGTGGAAAGCTGGGTAGAGGACTGTTTCCGCTCTGGGATCACCACACTCTGACCTGGGATGATCCACTTTCTTCTGATATAAGGGTGGAGGGAGAGAATACAGCATGTATTATCTATTTTTACCATAGCACGAACTCTAAGGAATTCAGGGTTTCAGGTGAAAAAAGAGCAGCCTCTTCACCCTCATCAGCCCATAGAGCTGTATTTATTCAGTTTTCCAGTGTCCTGATGGTGGGGAATTCTTGGCTACAACAGAAGCTCATATTTCTTCTTGGGATCCGATGCTAGCATAACACTTCAGTTGTCCGGACGTTGCGTTCACCACACCCGGGATTAATCTGAGTCTCTTATTTATTTTTTTTCCCTAGTAGTTCTTGTTGCTCTGGAGTGGCGCAGCCAAGCTGCAAAGAAACAGATGCAAATCAACTATGAAGCATTCACAAAGAAAACCAGACACCCCGGTCTGGAAAGGCCTAGGCTTTGGGGAAGTTTTGTATCAGGATCTAGAAGGACACTGAGCTTTTTTCCAATGTACTACGGGCTTTTTGATGCTATTTGAACTATACATGTTTAGAAACAGGTGTTAAGTGGTGTGACCCTCTAATGCAGGTGTACTTATACCAGTACAAAGATGCATAAACTACACAAACTGTACGAACATACTGGTATCCCCGTGTCCTCATCACTGGCCTTCCTGATCTTAGCTGTGTTGTATAAACACCCACCACCTGCACAGAAAGAGTTAAGTCAGCACGAAACAACTACATAGATCAGGCCTCTTCGTATTCTGTGCCCCCTCCCCCTCAACATTTGCACCCCTTCTGCTCAGTAATAGTTGCTGCCGCTGGTCTTGTAAATGGGGAAGCCGGGTGGTGTCAGCTGCTGTCTTTAGATCTTACAAACTTCTTTTTAAAATGAGATAATTTACAGATCAAAGACAATCATCCAGGAGACAAATTGGACACAAATTATTTGTTCCTATTTGTGGCTATCCTGCTAATGAATCTTTGAATAGCACTTTGGAGCAGGGTACAATTCCTTCCCCTCCCCTGCCCCACACACATTTCACAGATAATTAGCAGGAGGTAAAGGCAGCCTCAAAAAAATAAAAAGGGGGAGGAGGGGGACATTTCCTTTGTCTTTATATGTTCGCAAAAGTAAATAGCAGAGGATTATGGGTAACTCCATGTTTTGTAGCTTTAAGGGATAGGTCTCGCTTCAAATGTTGCTTTTTGAAATTAACCTTCCGGCCTGTTGAAGGCGGTTAGCAAATGCGAGTGACCTTTCCCAAAAACTTGCCTTTTGTCTGTACTCCCATCTGAAGGTTCTTCTAACCCTGGTGGGAGCCCCAGGTTTGAACGTCGTGGAGAAATCACCCACTGTAGATCAAGCAAGACTTTTGTAGGTTCCCCTTTGTTGTTTTTACTAAGGGAAGATGGCCACGGACTGCGATCGTCCCCGGGTGGCAAGGAATCGCGTATGACAACCTGCTCTCCTTGCTTGGTGAGGGATTTTGTTTGAGATGGGTCAGAGATGTAAAGTTCTGCTCCCTCCAGATTTTGCGGGGTTGAGAACCAGGATTGTGGTGTGGGCTGGTCTGAGCCTTTCCTACCCTGACAAAATGGATCAGCTGGGGACTGAGATGAAGATGAGTGATCTGCTCTCAGTCATCTTGCTGTTCCTTCCCCTCCGTCACTGGTAAGCAGGAGTAAAGTGCTGCTCTTCCACCATGCAGCCGAGTCAGTGCAGCTCAATTCTGGCCAGCAGCTAGGTCCCGGAACCCTTTCTTCAGTAGTGGCTCTGAGAAGGGTGAAGGACTAATACTGTGGGTTCCCATCCTCCTGGATGGCTGCCTCACAGTACCAGGTTAACCCCTGGGGTTTTGCCAGCCTGGACCAGTCATCTCCCATGCGTCAGGAGGCTGAGCCCGGCTCTGCGGTGACTTAAATCATGCACGAGTGGGCCATGCTGGTATGGGGTCCATCAGTAAAGTAGGTGGGGGAGCTCCAAGTACAAGTTGTTAATCCACTCGGGGGTTAGAAGGAAACTTTGGGGGCAGGTAATCTAGTCACTGCTGGGGCTCCCCGTGCACCGAAGCGGCGGGAACGGTGGCCCGGGGAGACAGCAGGTGGGAAGAGATGAGTCCCGAATCTAGTCCAGTGCAGTGACTGGATCAGGGACTCTGAGGCAGGGGGTGAGTGCATTAACAGTGTAACCCTGGGTGCCCCCCCAACCCAGTCTGTGTGCTGCTGCCGATCCCAGATGAACAACGCTCGCCTCCTAGCTGGACCAACACCAAACTGCTGCCAGTCCCCTTAGCGGCAGGTGGCTGGAATGGAAGGAAGTGCCCTGCCGCCTCCTGCCCCGCAGAGACCTCTGACACTCTTCTGCTGGTTTCCCCGCCACCCCGGCCATCTGGCAGAGCCGGCAGGGGGAGGCGAGAAGGGGGCCGCTCCTCTGGGCGAGCGGCGCGGCTGTCATGGGGAGGTCCCGTGTGGGATTGTAAGGCCATGTCATTTTTTTCCTGTAAATCTTGTAATTTCGTGCTTCAGAGCACAACAAAGTGAGAGAGTCAGCGGGGAGTGAATTAAGGTCCCCCCCCCCCCCGAGAGCCTGTTCGGGGTGGGCCGCCTGCATTCCGTCCGCGCCTCCTTGCCTCCCTCGGCGCACGTGTACCCACGTCAGGGGCATCCCTGTCTCCAAGAGGTTGGGGGTTTGTCCCACCTCCCTCCCTCCCCAGATCAACCTGGCTCGGTGCCCTTTTGACACAGTCTGGCATTGGCACGAGCCGTATTCTTCTTCAAGTGATTTGCCAGCTTAATCAACTCCTGTCGACTTTACAGGGTTCCCAAAGCCTCATAAAACCCGGGGCTGTCCTGCCATCTCCCCGCCAACAAAGCTCCCGTTGTGAGGCTCGTGCAGTTAAAACTGGGTATCTCGGAGCCCTCTCATGCTGCCTATAGCAGCATGGTCATTTCTGGGGGGCTGGGCTTCCGATTGGCTCAGCCGTCACGCTGCAGCGTGGCCTTTGTTCCGTCTCTTTGGTGCCTCTGCCTTTTCCTCTGCCTCCTGCTTAACTTCTAGAGCACTGTTGGGAAAATCATTCAGAAAGTTTCGGAAGAGAGAGAATGAGTTCTGGGCAGGCTGTATTACCTAATGGTTAGATGGAGGGGACAGTTGGTGGCACTTATGGATTCTTCTTTGGACTCTGGTGCTGACCAGCTGTCTCGCATGGAGAAAGCCACTTCTTCCTCACTCTGTGCGCCTTATTTTTTCCCCACCCTATCTGCAAAATGATCTCCAAGCACTTTGTGCCAACGTCAGCTAAGTTAGCCTTGCAGCTTTTTCCTCTGAGTTCCCCACTGACGGAGAGGGAAACTGAGGCTTGGGATAGGGCTTAATGAGTTTGCTTAAGATCATACCGTAGACCAGCAGAGTTGGGGATAAAACCCAAGGTCTCTCACGCCAAACCAAAATCTGCCCTTCCTCTTAGAATGATGCATTGAAATGTGAAAGTCCTTGGTTAATCATTAGGTTAACCTAACATTTAACCGGTTAACTGATTAATTGGGATTTTTGCACCCCCTACTTCCTGGTGCCTTATTGTTTCCCTGGGCACCTTTGGAGTTTTTTTTCCTATGGCTGGCATGGAATTTCTGCTCCTCAAAGGGATGCTGCCCACTTGAAATCTAGTCAGTTAAAAAAAAGGGGGGGGGGGGCTAAAAAAGAAACGGCTTTGGGTTCAAAACTGCCCTCCAAGTCATCTTTCCAGGTTTTTGTTGTCTTCCCATTGATATTTTCCCATTCCTTTTTTTGAGGTTTGATTTCCCCTCCTCTGCTTTTTGCTGTGTGAAAGGCCCAGTAATACGGAGTCTTCACAAACCACTGTCAGATGGGAGGAATGGAGAATTTAGCATTAATTTTGCAACTTGTCTGATCAGAGAAGTTTTATCATTAAGGTACAACCCTCCCAATGTGGACTGTTAGCAGTTTAAAGTGCTACATTAGACTGGAATATCTATGCCCATATAGGATAAACCTCTTGGTTGTGTCTAGACTGGCAAGCTTTTCCGCAAAATCATCTGCTTTTGCGGAAAAACTTGCCAGCTGTCTACACTGGCTGCTTGAATTTCCGCAAGAACACTGACGATCTCATGTAAGATCATCAGTGTTCTTGCAGAAATACTATGCTGCTCCCGTTCGGGCAAAAGCCCTCTTGCACAAATCATTTGCACAAGAGGGCCAGTGTAGACAGCAAATGGCTAAAATGGCAATTGGGGTTTTTTTGCACAAAACCGCGTCTAGATTGGCACGGACGCTTTTCCGCGAAAAGTGCTTTTGTGGAAAAGCGTCCGTGCCAATCTAGATGCTCTTTTCCGAAAATGCTTTTAACGGAAAACGTTTCCATTAAAAGCATTTCCGGAAAATCATGCTAGTGTAGACGTAGCCCTTCTGTGCTGGATTCAGGAACTTTTTATCAACTGTCTCCATGGGTGGTATTAAAAGTGGTGTAAATTTGAGTGGGAATCCTACCTTTACCTGACATAGTTATAGCAATACCTAATCTATACACAGAGCAGAAGAACTTCAGGGAGCAGTGTGACTTCTAAGTAGATGATAATGCATCTTCTGTCCCTGTTGCAGACTGGCAAGAATTGTGCTCATCATAATAATTTGCACTGGCCTTATTTGAGTCCGGCAGTTTATTCAAAGATCTTCGGGGTTTGAGCATCCTACAAGCAAGCATGTTCACTTCCCCTTCCCCCACTTTTCTTTTCCCTACCAGGTTTTCTTTGAACAAACTAAAAAGTTTAGCATGAAAGTGGGTAGAAACTGCCCTGAGTTTTCAGGTGGACACAGTTGTTTTGCACAAATCCGTCAGCCCAGGGTTCCTGGAGGAAGAAGTTTTGTGAACCCTCTGATCTGGCCTTCACTGGGGGTGGGCGAAAGGTGTGTTGTTTATTGGATTACCTAGTGATAGTTTAAACACTTTTACATTTTCATACAAGCACCTTAGTGCTCCCCTCCTAGGCTGCCCGATGTGTTTGGGAGTTCCCCCACAAAACTCTCTCCCATGCCATGGTGCCTTGACAGTACACTGAGACATCTGTCTGCCATGCTGGCCAACCCTGGCTCGTTATTTTCTGGTCCTCCCCATCTGTCTGGATCCCTATGCTGGTCTCTTGTCTGGTATAACACTTCAATTGGAAGCTCTTCAGGCCTGGGACTGTCTGTTCTGAGTGTAGCGCAATAGGTCCTGCATGACTGAAATCCCCAGGCGTGACCGTAATTCAAATCCCAATGAGTTATCAGGTCAACATGAGGACTACAGGAGTGGGTAAGATTTGCCTTGATGCACAAACACGTGGAAACACACTGCCTTGTCTCCACTAGGATTTTACCTTGTGTTTGTTCCACATCTCAACCGGAAAATACCGTCTGTGCTAGACGGGTTTGTTTTGGGGTTATTTTTCTCATGATGAAACCTGAAGCCAGGTGAATTCTGAGTGTGATTTCCTTGTGGTCATTTTGCCCTGGATGCCTACTGTAATCCTGGTACCCACCTGCCCTTTAAGTCCCTTTTCATAGAATCATAGAACACTAGAACTGGAAGGGACCTTGTGAGGTCATTGAGTCCAGTCCCCTGCCCTCATGGCAGGACCCAGAGCTATCTAGACCATCCCAGATAGACATTTATCTAACCTACTCTTAAATATCTCCAGAGATGGAAATTCCACAACCTCCATAGGCAACTTTATTCCAGCGTTTAACACCCTGACAATTAGGAAGTTTTTCGTAATGTCCAACCTAACCCTCCCTTGCTGCAGTTTAAGCCCATTGCTTCTTGTCCTATCCTTAGAGGCCAAGGAGAATAATTTTTCTCTCTCCTCCGTGGAATACCCTTTTAGATATCTGAAAACCACTATTATGTCCCCTCTCAGTCTTCTCCTTTCCAAACTAAACAAACCCAATTCTTTCAGCCTTCCTTCATAGGGCATGTTCTCTAGACGTTTAATCATTCTTGTTGCTCTTCTCTGGACCTTCTCCAATTTCTCCACATCTTTCTTGAAATGTGGTGCCCAAAACTGGACGCAGTACTCCAATTGAGGCCTAATCAGCGCAGAGTAGAGCGGAAGAATCACTTCTCATGTCTTGCTCACAAATTGTTTTTTCTTTTTTTTTTTTTTTTTTTTTTTTGCAACAGCGTCACACTGTTGACTCATATTTAGCTTTTGATTAATGTCGTGTGCTCCTCCCCCAACTGCTGCTTTGGCCTTGCAGTGCGCAAAGGCAGGATGGATGGATTGTTCATTATTCTGGTGTCCCCTATTTTTCCAAAGTGCTGGTGTAACAGAACCAAAGCTGGGACCTCTGGAGCTTAGTGCAGGAGCCTCTACAGCAGTGGTCCCCAACCTTTAGAGGCTCCCGGGCGCCCAGCGGTGGGGCCACTCATGTGCCGGGTGCCCGGGGGGGCGGAGCTGCAGGGCCGAGCAAGCCAGGGGACTGGGATGACCTTGCACCCGGCACCTGCATATGCCCTAGGGCCGGGGCTGGGGCCGCCCAAGTGCCCTGCGCCCGGGGCCGAGGCCGCCCAAGTGCCTTGTGC